ACTTCCATCAAGCACAATCAAACCTCTACAAATGATTCAGAATGCAGCGGCACAACTGGTCTTCAACCCATGTTACACCTCTCTTTATTTCCTTGCGCTGGCTACCGGTTGCGGCACGCATCAAGTTCAAGACATTGATGCTTGCATATAGAACAGCCACAGGTTCAGCACCCGCCTACTTCCACTCACTATTACGAATCTACATCCCCTCCAGAAGTCTGAGATCCGCTAGTGAGCGATGCCTCGTGGTACCATCACAGAGAGGCTCAAAAACCATTCCTGGTTGGTGGAATGATCTTCCCACCCCTATCCGGAATGCTGAATCTCTGACAATTTTCAAGCGACAGCTGAAAACTAATTTATTTCGACACTACTTGACTTCATCCTAAATTTTAAAAAACAAAAAAAACTTTGTCTTTCTCTTTATTTATTCCTTCCCTTTCTAGCATGTACTTATTTGAACAAATGGCTGAAACTTGGTATTACGAGCACTTCCTGTGTCTGTTTTCCTCTTTAAAGGTCCCATGTCATGCTGCTTTTTGGATGCTTTTATATAGGCCTAAGTGGTCCCTAGTACTGTATCTGAAGTCTCTTTCCCGAAATTCAGCCTTGGTGCAGAATTTCAGCCACTACGAGCCAGTCCCACAATGAGCTTTCCTTAGGACGTGCCATTTCTGTGTCTGTAGCTTTAAATGCTAATGAGGAGGAGAGAGGCGGGGCAACTGCCATGCTTCGCTCGTTTGCAAGCCATGATGTCTCTCGAGGAAAAAAAAATATTGCGCTTGCCTCGCACGGTAGTAGCTCATTTTCTCATGGGCGGGCCAAATTCTCTGGGCGGGCAAAGCAGAGAAAGGGGAGGTAACCTTTCCCTGTATGACGACATAAAGGGAAGATTCCAGATTGGGCCATCTGAGCTTTCATTTTCTCAAAGGCAAAGCAGGATACCCAGGGCTCGGTTTACACCTATCGCCATTTCTAGCCACTGGGGGACCATAGGCAGGCTAGGGGAACTCATATTAATGTTAAAAAACCTCATAAAGTGAAATTTTCATGCCATGGGACCTTTAAGAAGAATTGCTTTATGTATTCCCCAATTGTAAGTCGCTTTGGATAAAAGCGTCTGCAAAATGTCTAAATGTAAATGTAAATGTAACATATCTTCTTTTGCATTTTTTTGGGTGAACTATCCCTTTAAGTCCAAGTGATTTTAGCATGTTTTGGCTCTCACTGATTGCTTAGAAAGGAAAATTAGACCTCTCATAGCACAAACTGAGCAGGCCAAGCTACACATCAAAGTAAAATAGTTAACACTTTATTTTGATAGTCCACTTTAGGCATTCTACTAACAGTAAGTAACTTTGCAACTACATGTCAACTAGCAGTCGTTAGAGTTTAGTAGACTGTCTGCTTAATATCTTCTAACACTTTATTTTGATGGGTCCACAACATACAACATACTGACTATGAGAAACTTTGCAAGCATATGTCAACTTATTCTACTAACCCTAAACCTAACCTAACAGTCTACTTTAGACTGTCTACTTATAGTTAGTAGAATGTCTAAAGTCGACTATCAAAATAAAGTGTAAACTTAAAATATGTATAAGGTTAGGGTTTTTTTCACATCCCTGTATTTCTAGTATGAGTACTAGCAATAGATGTCTTAGCAAGTATCACTATATTTATAGAGAGTATGCTATATAGTAGGCCTATATAGTAAGGGGCTGTTCACACAGAACATGTTGCGTTCCACTGTGCTGTTAATCCATTGTTTTTTTCGTATAAAAGTGCTAAATGGACATGATTGACACGGCATAACATGTCATTCTAAAAAGTTAAAAGAAGTTCAGCTTTTTTTGTAGATTTTTTTCATTTGTCCTGCGTTTGAAATGCAAAAACGAGTTCTGCATAAATGGCCACTAAGATCCAGTGAATACAGTAGGTGTACATTTTGGTGTATTTGCGATCTATTGCAAACATGAGCAGAAGAAAGAGTGAAAAAACAGCTCCTAAATTCCAATGTGTCCAATGAGTGCCAAAGAAATTAGTTGTCACATTGCATGGCAAGAAAAATGGCTGGGGGGGGGACTTCTGGAGAACTCTCTGAAGAAACAAATGTGCATGAAAGGACTTTGTCTGTTCTGAAATCTCCATCGAATCCTGTCAAGAGTATCGCGGCACGGAGCCATAAAGATTAAATACAGACCCGGTTCTTCTTTTACAGTCCACTACAGTGTGAATCTCCGTACAGAGACATCCTTCAAAATAAGACCATTTGAAAGCAGGAAGCAAAAGGAAAGCATGAGGAGATGATGCTGGCTGCTTATAAGAGAGTGACTTGGCAGAGCTGGATTCACCACAGCCAAGCTGAACAAAATTCAGCACATGCTTCTCTATCATCTAGGTTTCTTTTATGTCTCATTTCTGCTTTCTCATATCCATACATGGCCGCAAATGCTTGCTCTGTGCGTGGAGGAGAGGGAAAGTAAAAGGTAATGATGTTATACTCCCTACATGCTCAGACATCTCATCGTTCGTCATCTGCTATTGTTTTCAGTTACACAAACACATGTATCCTATTGCACACACTAGTTTCACTCATTCCCTGAGGCTATGAGATTGTAAAATACACTGTTACTCCACTACCCTGACCACCACAGTACAGCAAAGTTGAAATACTGTACAACAGCATGTCACACAAACATACATGCCTGATTAGACCATCATCTGGTCTTAGAGACATTCCATACAAAATCTCTCACTCACACATTTACACTCATCCTCTCCTGATTCTAACCCCACCTCTTCATCCCTAGAGAGAAAGTCTCTAGCAACTCCTCACCTGTCCTCTTGTTCTATGTCTTCAGCGACAAGATGTCAGAAGAGAGTGTGGTAATGCAATTTTGCATTTATAATACACACACTTTGAGATTTCCTGCTTAAAAGCATCCCTCCACAAGATAATGTATAGGCCTACATATTAATAAGCAGGGCTTGACATTAACACCCGCCAACCCGCCGATTTCAGCTGTGGCGGGTAACACAGTCACTCCTACTGGCATCTTCGTCGGGTAACAGTAACAGAGCTCGACATTAATGCTTGTCTGGGACAAGTGGATATTTTGAATGGGCTAGTGTTGGGTCGTTCTTGAACGATTCGTTAATTTTGAACGAATCTTTAATGCGACTCGGGAAGAACGAGTCGTCTCGGGGAGTGATTCGTTCAGTCGCGCATGCACAACATCATATAGGTTCTATACTGGAATTAGTCAAGTAGTTCACCTGGAGACTCAAAGGTCCGAGTCGGTAAAATGATCCGAACTTCCCATCACTAGAAGGGGCAAGTGAAAGAGAATTTTACTTGCCCGACCGGACAACAAACGTGATTAAAACATCTAATTAGGGAAGCACGGAAATTTCAGCGAGAATGATTCTGATTTTGTTACCTTTAGTGCAAATGGCAATTTAGGCTATAGTGGATAATGTACCGACAGTGACAAGGTCGTGCAGTTGAGGCCCACGCAGCCTGTCTGTGTGAACGAATCTCGTGAAGAAATCAACATAAATGGACTACACACAGAAGAAACATACCGCGGTAAAAATGTAGTTGTTATATTTATAACATGATATAGCCAAGCAACATGACTGCAAATTTAACATTGATTTTATGCAAGAGTTTAAACAAGTAGTTAATAGGCCTATTAAGTGACTTACATGTTAGACTTAGTCAATGCTTACTGTTTGTACTCGATTTAATGAAAATAGTTCCAAAGATCACAGCATTAATCGCGCATGTCTGAACAACACACGCAGTGCTTCGTTACCAAATGATTCAGTGTATCGAACGAGTCAATTATTCAGTAACCCACTTGGTTCATTCTTGAATTAATCGTTTGAATGAATGACTCAATGACTCACTCAGTAAGACAGTCACTTGAACAGTCTTTTGAACTTTGTTTACTAGAGAATAGGCCTACTGAAAAACACAGTTTCCACAAAATTCTTAATGAGCACAACTGCTTTGATTATATTAAGAAATGTTTCTTGTGGACTAAATCAGCATATTAGAATGATTTCTGAAGGATCATGTGACACTGAAGACTGAAGTAATGGCTGATGAAAATTCAGCTTTGCTAAAAACGTATTTATTATTTATTTTAATTAGTAATAATTCAAAATATTATTTTTCAATGAATCGACCCCAAACCTTTAAACTGTAATTTTATACTATCAGCATATCAATTTGAGTGAAACGCTGAAAATATACAGGAATGTTGTCTCATTTTTGCTTTAATGACTAAAGCTGAGATGGACTCCACAAGTTTTAAAAAATACATTACATAAAATCGTAATGTTAGAAGAAATGTCCAACACATGGTAGTCATTTTGACTATCCATATACATTTACATCAAAGCTATTTTTTCTCTTTCTAAGCAGCCAACAAGAAAGTGCATGTACTGCATTGTTATCTCAGCAGGTAGTAAATGACAACGAAGTGTGAATAAGATTTAGTGCTTTTTGCAGTACAGAGAACATGTTAGGTGCAGTTAGGTATGAAAATTCGGTGTTTAGCTGAGCTCTAAATCTCTTACAGAGCCGCAGTTGATTTGTGAGCACCGCTATAATTAAATGTCAGAGGAGAAATTACGCTGCACGTTGGAACAAGATAGTTTCACAGAACTGATCATGACAAAGTACCTTAGTGAATCAAAGAGGGTGACATCCAGCTTTGAGAAATTACTGATAATGTATGTGTCAGACAAAATGGAGTGACAAAAATGATCCACAGCAGGAGAGCTCAGGCATACTGATGCTATAAGACACACAAAGAACAAAGATGCCCTCTGCTGGTAAAAATAAACTACAGCTATACATACAAAAGTAGGGCAGAGAGAGAGAGAGAGAGAGAGAAAAAAAGTAATTTATCAAATTTTAATAAGGTAAATCTGATAGCAGAACTCAACAAAAAAATTAATAATAGTACAAACACTCAGACAGGAATGGTACAAGACATCAGTTTATTCCACTTATTACATTAATTAAATTAAAAAAAGGCAGTCATAAACATGAGAAAATAAACAAATGTGCATATTCAATTACAAAAGACAGACAACAATTAACAATCAGAAGATTAACAATCAGAATTAACAGGCACATTTTAGTAATAACGTTTGTGTAGTTCACAATGTGTTTTTTGGTAAGAGGCATTGTCAGAAAATAATCAGCATATAAATGTGGCAAAAAAAGTCATTTGACTGTTCTAAAAATATTTGTGTGGGAAAAGTGAAATAAAATGAATGTTCCAAAAATTCCATATAGACACATGACTGAGTGATAATTCAAAAATACAAAAAGAATCATGGTTTCATTTTTAGAACTGGATTTTCATGATCATACTCCTCAGCATATACACACACACGTCAACATAAATACACATACATACATACATGCACAACTAAAGCCACATTTAAGGCATCGTATTAACATTCAAATATCTTATGATGGAAATAACGAATTATTTTCAAGGCAGTATCAAAAGAAACTAAATTGCTTTTTAAAAGAATTTCTAGACATTTCTAAACATCACAGTTGTGAACAACATAAGAGTTTGTTTTCTTCAATGTTATGCACAGATGCAAGAGTAACAACGGCCTGAAGAGTTTGAGAACTCACAGGAGTACAGTAAATACCAGTGTATAAAAACTTGCATAATCTACCTTTCATGGATAAAATTGTAGTTTATAAATACAAGCTTTTTGTACTGTTCATGAACTCATGTAAACACTTTGTTCCTCCCACCAAACACTACATCAGGCTGTTAAATGGTGTGCTTGTCTTGCTGTTAGCAGAGACAATATAAATCACACATCCTTAGCCCTCATTCCTCATAGCTGGGTGGACAACGTAATATTAAACACCACAAACTGTGACACTACATAAACACTACGTGACACGAGCTTGATTTAGCTCTTCAGCAAGCAACCAATGAGGCAGAACGAAGAGTAACAGATTATATTTATAGAGCGGATATATTCAGCACACCCTAGGAAATTACTAGGCCTAAGTGTCTTTAATAGTAGACACAGTTGATGGTGAACGGTAACAGAAAAAATATATTTCTAGTTGACTGGCATGCCATAGACATGATTTAAATATTCAATCAAGCTTAAGACAATTTTGAAAAAAGTCCAGTGTTTATTTAAAAAACAAAAACAAAAAAAAAACATATGCAGACCAGCAGGGGTCACTGTAACTTAGTTGGGGGCCACTGTGTAAAATTCAGTAATTAAGTCATCCAGCTGAGACCCGTTTCCTGGCCTCTTTATAGAAGGGAAAAAAGCAAGGACAGAATGGTCAAGACAGCGATAGGCTTAATTTAGGTCTGGAAAACTGGCTGCAAAGTTTCATTCATTTAGTTAAGAAGGTAAATTGTGGGATCCCTGGATTTTAAATGGAAAATGAAACCCATAGCTCTGAACGTTCTTATCTCTGATTTGCAAGCTTGACCAAAACTCTCGAAAAACATCCTGAGAATCAGATCTGAGAGGGGAGCAAGCACATCGTCTGGTTTTTCCAGCGAAGCAGAGTTAATGATTTTGTACATTTTAAACATTTCTTTGACGCAATGACCCAGTTTGGCTAATCTGTTAATACAAAGCTTTATGACTTGCAACTGATTGTCTGCTCCTGAAAAAGAATAAATGATCTAGAAGGAAAAGAGCCAGTAATGCATGAAGTCATTACTGCCTATATTTAGTTGGTATCCAAAACCCCTGTCCCCACAAACTCATCATTAATCTAAAAGAGCATGGGCTGTGGCAATATTAAATATAATATAAACAGGAAGGCAATATAATGTTCCTATACACATTACAGAGAACTAGAGCAACAAGTATGGATTAGGCTTGTGATGGCTGCATAGAGTGTTCAAACATGTCTGTTCACTTTAGCATAATGCAACATAATTCTCCTATAGAAAAAGAAACCACATTTTATCAAAATGATCAACAGATATTTATGCTCAGGTGTGCTGTGTACCGTCTGTTCCATGTTCAGACCAGCTGAACTACATTTCCCACAATCCTCAGCACCGCTGATCTCACACCCACAGAGCACTGTATAACTACTTGTAACATTATCAGCAGAATTTGTTGACACAAAGTCAAGCCATTGAAATACTATGTGGTAGCAATTTAGAGCTACATTTGAAATATATACATCTAAAGAGCTCATCATCGCTTCTGACCTTTGACATGAAATGAAGTACATAAAGATGCTAAATAAAATCACAGTAGAACAATGGTAAAATGTTAAAGAGCTAGTTCACCCAAAAATGACAATTTTATCTCATGTTGTTCCAAACTGCAGAACACAAAAGACGTCCATATAATAATGAAAGTCAATGGGGACCAAAAAAAAAGGGATCCGTGACAGCGTTTTTCTGGTCAAACGAATGAAAGAAAAGACAGAAAGTCAATCATACGGTTTTAAAATGTCATGAGGGTGTGTAAATGATGACAGAATTAGCATTTTTGGGTGAACTGTCCCTTTAAAGCAGCCAAAACCCTGGATCAGCAGTTCACTGACAGTTCAAAGCTGGGTCATTCAGCCAGGCCCAGATTTTAATCATATGTTGAGGACTTCTGGGATGGACCAGCATCAGGCTGTTATAGGCACAGGCATTATCGCGATATTTCTCCTCGATATCAAAGGTCCTGAAGCCTTTGTTCTTCTCAGGAGCAAGGCCCAGTTTCTTAAGGCACATACCTGTGTAGACATCATCGATGGGGTAGAGGGGCACCAACCTCGAGACGTAATGAAGTTTCTGGACCAACTGTCCCGAGAACAAATAACCACCCCCACCCGCATAAGCAGGGTATGTTCCAACGAACATGCTTTCCGGGATAAAATACTTGACCTTTTTGTCCCGGTGTGGACCAGCGTTGGTAATCACATCTCCTACAAACAGTTCCTTGGCTTTGGCATGAGAAAGATTGATTAGGAAGTCTATAATGCGGATGGTGTTAACAAAAACATCGTCATCGCCCTTGAAGACGTAACTGACTCCAGGACAGCGGGTGTTCAGCCATTCCAGGAAAAGCACTTCCTTGATGGTGAGGTTGAAGAAGGTGTCCCTATAGTCCCATTGAAGAATATCTCCATGTATGGAGCTCTCATGGAGAAGCATCTTCGAGAGATCAGGAAAATGGTCCTCCGTGGCTGCATTTCCAAGAAGAAACACCGTAATGACCGTTCTGTTTGCAAGGAGGCCAGCTTTGCCCCACGACTCACGGATGGCCTGACGTCGATCAAAGTGCGGGACTAAAGATTTAATAGCTAGGAGGAGGAACGGTGGGTCTTTGCATATGTTTGGCTGATCCATCACGATGGGATAGGACCTGCAGCGCATGTAAAGCAGAAAGTCCTTGAAGCGATCCGGTAGCAAGTTGTAATCCTTGACTTGGGTGGTCACCCTGAAGTCCGGCTCACAGGAGTCCAGACTGACTGTGTCGTTTAGCCAGTCTGGAAGCTTATCAATCGTGAAGTTGAGCTTTTCTAGGTTGCGATTGTTGATGTAGTTCAGCTGTTGCTGCCGGCGATTCCAGTAGGCATCACTGGGGAGATCTTTTGCCCAGAAACGCTTCGTGGGAACCAGCTGCTTATTTTTATTGCCGTCACCCTTCCCAGTATTGCGAGAGACCTCCACCACTATGAAGATGAACACCATTGTCATCATCATCATGACCTTCACCTTCCTCCGAGGTCCCTGCATGGTGTCGAGACTCACCACCTAAACAGCAGAGACAAAAAATAACATAGATGAGGACATGTGAGGGACTACTTTCAGGACTACGGACTAAAAAAAATAACTAGGAAGCCATTGGTTCTTAAACTTTTATGAGCCAATGTGTGACGTTTTAGTTCACAAATTACAGATAGAGCTGAATACAGATGGCTTGGTTCCCATTAAATGCTGTCACTGTAGTGATACTGACTGTATTTGTGGCATATGCATTTTTTAAATACTTTATTCAGCAAGCATGCATTAATTCTGATGATAATTGATCAAAAGTGACAGTAAAGACATTTATGGGAGGAAACACTAGCACACTAAAGATGTGATTGACCAACAGCACTTTACAAGATAATATCGGATTATAACTGCACAGCTAGTTTCAATTATTTTTTACTTGCCTTGCCTCTTGGAGGTTTAACATTTTTGTTAATATGGAAGAAAAAGGAACCATTCCATTAAATACACATCTAAATTTCTCTGAACACATTCAAATGTAGATCATCCAAACAGTTTCCATTTCCTAGGATAGATTCTTCAAGCATCTCTCACCAGAACTGTTTAGTTGACAGTTTCAGCTAAAGGTTTCTACTCAACCACATGCCCCAAAAAAATGAATGCCACACAGATAACCATAAAGCAAATCCTGTTTGATGATAAAACTCGCAATGCTTCAGAGTTTGTTTGTGCGCGTGTTGGCAACTAAAGTGTTCGAGTACTGCATGCTAATAGTAAGTGCAAATCGAGAAGACAAACTAGCGGTGGACACAAAGCTATCATTTACTTGAAGGACTTGGCCCCATTTCAAGCCTGGCTGTTTTAATTTTAGAATGGCATGCTAAAATTAAACCACGTGAACCTCTTTACGTTGAACTCTATATGAGAGTTAACCCACAATTGCATAAAGAACACTTTATTTGGGACGACTTGGAATAATTTTGCCATTTAAAATTCCAACAATATGAGAAAGGTTTCATTTCGGACAATTCACACTTATTGAAGACTAAAATTACTTCTTTTATTTAACCTGAACATGTCATTTTCTCATCCATCTGTTGCTTCTCTTTCACCATCTCCTCCCTCTTTCTCTTGTTTCGTTGCTTTTGTCTCCCAGCAACCCCTCTGCTCTGTTGCACATGGTTTCTCTCATTTATTCAATTCCACATTCTTCAGTTCAGCTTTCTTTTCCATTCTCTTTCTGCTCTATCCTAGCCCACTTTCCGCTCACTCCCGTCTTATTCTTTGTATAACCCACACCCTTCGCTATAACTCTCTAAGGGATACCAGTATAAGGCCTAGTATTTCCTATGGAACAGAGCTGAATGCGAGTTTAGAGGTAGTCTAGCGTTGCAGGTACGACATAAAGGACTAAATTTAGAGTGGCCTCATGGGCCAGTTGGCCTCTGGGATCAGTGGTGATTTAAAGACTACATAGGAGCCAGTCAATGACAGAGAGAGACATTGATTTCCAACAAGAAACGGCATTATCTTTATGTTTTGACTTGGAAAAATGCATAATGTCCAATATTCCTGAATTAAATTATAAACCATTTAAAAGGTGTTTTAGTGAATTATGACTAAACATTGTATACAACAAATTATACAATAAGAATAGTTTTTTCTCAGCTGAAATAATTACTCAGGGCCAGTGTGTACCTGTTTACCTGTGCACAGGTGAGACTGTGGAGGGTCCAGGTGTATGGTGCGCAGGTGCTAGCAATTGTTTTTAGCCCATCCTGACACACTTAACAGAGTGAATCACAGAAACAGGGATGATGTGGAGAGGAAATCCAGATCTGGGGAGAAAGAAAAACAAACATGTTTTGCTGCTGCTATAATAATGGATACATGGAAGATCTGAGGGAACATAAGAGCCTGAAACAGCAAGAATAAACAGAGTCTGTTCACACTTGAGGATTATTCCAGGTGGTCTGAGCTCAATTATTTGTTGGCCTTGCTTGAAATGACCAGCAGACCAGCTTTTATCTTTGAGTGACTGAAAATCTGGTAAGTACTACTTTTCGCAAAGGCAGTTCGAGCACTAAAGCTAAACAAAATCTGAGATTATTAGCAAAGAACTCTCTCTTCCCTTCACACCCTCTTCCACTGTGACTCCACCCAAATGTCTTCATATCCACAATGAAACTCACCAACAAAGTGACAAATTTAAATCGAAAATGAAACTACTAAAAGCACACATATAATATATCAGGCTTATGATTTTTTCATAAGAACATGACAACAGTTGACAGTTGAATTTAAAAAAAATTATATTTCATATATTTATACATCATATATATATATATATATATATATATATATATATTAGTAGTGTATGTAGTTACCTAACCAATATGTGACACAAATAGCAAATGGACAAATGTATGTGTATATATATATATATATATATATATATATATATATATATAACACACACAAATAGTTTTTTCATCCTAATATATAAACAAATTATTTTTTTGATTTAAAATTAACCTAGAATTTCAATATTTTGCTGAAAAAAAAAAGAAAATAAAAAAAAGTTTAATTGTCGTAAGCTACAAATGAACAACAAACAATGTCTAAACGTTATAAACATTTCAAAGTCATGTCCAGGGCATAAAGTACTTTTGATGGCACTGATGAGTACAATCCAGACATTTAGTGCATTTGCTCCTCTTCTCTCTAACCGTAAGTGCACCAAGTAGCTAAAGAGTCCACAGGAGGTGAAGTCTCTTATTAATAATTAACACTACATCTGCGGTGTAAACAGTGAACTGAATCTCTCTCCACCTCACATCAACAGACTAAAGACTCACACTGATCCTATCACTAGCCCTTTACAAACGGTTCTGACTCTGACCACATTTTTTGGTTATGTCCACATATTCAATCTTTTTGAGGAAGGGCGGGACAATATCTAGGGTAATATGCTTTAACATAGATTTTGTCATTTGCCATTATGTTTCTAGGGGTCACTCCAGAGTCCGGAGGGTTTGAATAAGTGTGATAATTATCTCTTGAAGATGTTTTTAGTTTCATGTAAGAAAGCAGTAACTAGAAGTTGTCTCAAGAGAAGTCCTTCCAAAATGGATCTTCTAAGTATTGTCAGTCAAATATGATCTATGGAAAAAAATGACCTTCTCTCTCTGGTTACAGAAGAACAAATGGGGAAATTATTGGAGGAAATGGGATTGTAATATACTTCAAACAAGCAATGGCTAGACTTCCAAAGTGGACCTCAACTTCTATCTGTACCATGCGGTTCTTGATTTCTTGTAAGACCTCATGTAACTGTTGTCGTTAATTGTTAATTTTTTGTATTTTATTTTATTACTGCAATCTTTTTTTATTCTTTTTTCTCTGTGAATGTGTGTCTCCTTGTCGATATTTTGGTTTACGGTCTCTATTTGTGTGTACTAAAACAGAAAATCTGTATTAAAAAAAACTGTTCACTTTAACGATCTAGCTCATCTATGGTTGTGAAAGAACTTTCCTGGTTTGTAAAACCAACCAACTTGTTGGTTAATCATCTTGCTGTTGGTCAGGAAAGGAACTTAAGCAACAGTGTGCAAAATCCAAAGCAGAAACCATAGCAACTACTAGGCAATGCCAAAAAATAGGATAATACAGCATGCGGTGGTAGATATTTCGTGCTACTGCTGTAGATACATTTGTGTGTAAAGAGTATTTATATGTATTTTTGCACAACTATCAGCAGGCAGGATGGATTTAGATTTTTTTTACACGTGAGAAAAGGTGAATGTAAATGTCATGAGAATTTACAGAGCATCCTCGACATGTCCAGAACAAGTCAAAACAAGGAACAAAACATTGTTCTGTCTTTAGGCAAAATGCAAAGCAGAGCAGAGTTGACTATAGCTGCCAAGCAACATCACAACTTGCGTTCATATATGCATTCATACAGAATTCAACCGATGTGCTGTTACAGGTGTGCATGTATGGTTGTTTTCACAATTTCAGAGATAGAACTATGGGCATTACATTAGCTTTCATGTCTTTACTCCATTTTTACGAGATATGAAGCCATTTCTGTACTGATGCCAAACTTATTCTCTTGCTTTGGCAAGTTCTAAATAAAAAGAGAAAAATCAAAATTTAAGTATTTAATTCACTCATTAGGAAAAACTTGCATTAAATCACTTAACTGGTAACCCAACAATGACATATGGTTCAACAATGAATGACCCAACACAACACACAGAAAAGGTGCACACTGTAGTACAAAACTAAACAGAAAATCCTTACAATCATAAGTCCAACAATATGCAAAACTGTACAGATGACATATGCTGAATAGGAAAATTAGCAATTTTGTTTTTTAAATGTCTCGAGTTTCAATAGTTTCCTGTTCTCAGTGGTCAGTGATTTATTGTTTATGCACGAACCATGTTTACCCTCAATGCATTTGAACCTGTATCTAACGTAGTCATATTTTCTTTAACATTGCATAGTTTGGTTAATGGCTTTTGAGGATGAACGGGTGTCACGCATCTGACCAATTTGTCACATTTCAGATGAATATATAGAGAAATCTCAAAGTTTGATTGGATGCAAATCCTTTGATGTTGTGCTTACCAACACTTTTAAAACCTAAAACGTCTATTTATTTTGCCAACCAAACTATGCTAAATACAAAATGCAGCTAATTATGCACTGCCCGCATACCCAATAAATAGACCAGTGACCAACCAGCTGAAAACTACTGTTTTAGTCAACAAATCAGTACATATGAACAAGAAACTAAGAAGCAAAACCAATATGTAACACGTGTGTGCCTGCATGTATGAATGAGAACAGAGCACACTATATATAGCTCCAGTTAAGATTAAAAGCACTGTCTATATATACACCCACTCACTGATGATCATTTATGTGTGACTTCCAGTCCACTGCTATTGTAAGAGATGAATAATAATGTTTGGGGTTAAACAAAAAGCAAGCCGGCCACTCTGTGATGAACTACCTGGGCGCAGGTGCATGGTCATGCAAGACGTTTATGTGAATTAAATCATTTTTAAGAGAGCGTCTCTGAAAAAAAAGGTCACAAACTCATTTCTGTATAGGTCAAACACCCTCAAAATAATGATCCCAAACCAACTGACTCAAAAAGATGGACAAAAAAACAGGTTAATGACTAAGCATTATACCATTCAAAAGTTTGGGGTCGGTAAGGTATTGTTTTTAAAAGACGACTACCATGCTGCTAAAGACTGCATTTATTTGATCAAAAATACAGTAATATTGTGAAATATATTTGCAATTTCAAATAACTGTTCTCTATTTTAATATATTTTAAAATGTAATTTACTCCTGTGATGGCCAAGCTGAATTTTCAGCAGTCATTACTCCAGTCTTCAATGCCTTCATTTTAACATGCTGATTTGCTGCTTAGGAAACATTTATTATTATCAATGCTGAAAACAGATGTGTTAAATTATTTTTGTGAAAAGTTTTTTTTTTATTATTGATGAATAGAAAGTTTCAGACACGTTTGATCAATTGAATGCTTTTAACTTTTGAATGGTAGTGTATTTGTGAAGGAAGAAATGTGAACAAAAATGATTTATCTTTTACATATACAGCTTGGCAGTGTGAAACAAAAACAAGGCCATTACCAGTCTATCACCTCCCCTTTAACAGTATAATGTATCTGAAGTCTCTTCAGGCACTGAGTAGGATTCCTGGAAGAGGGAGAATTCTCTATCACTGAAACTAATTATCTGGGGTGGAGTTGGGTGGAGTTTTCCCATGTGGCGGCTAAATGGAACACAAGTGACCAAAACACAGTGACATGAAAGAGTGTGAGAGATCTTAAAGGACACTTCTGAGGAACGCCACTACATGCAGGAAGCCCCCCAACCCCCTGTAAGAAACTGACTGACTGCAGGGTTTTCTCAAAAGACAACCCTCTAAATCTTTAACACATTCTAGTTTACTTTAAAAATGCTTATATTTAAATGGGTAAAATGAGACTAACACCTTGGGGGCACAAGCTTACACTGAAGGACATTCCTTGAGTCATCATGGAAATGTATAATGAGTCTAACTCCAAGGGATTTACCCTAGTTAGTCAAAAACCCCACTGATGCACACTGTGCACTACCTGGTCTTCCTACTCCTGTTCAGCACAATGACTTGAGAAGTACAAGAATAGAAAACATGTGCTCCTTCATTAATTCTAAAATGTTTTGGAGTGCTAAAATCTAAGCAACATTTAATATACAAAGGAAATAATTGATGCAAGAAACTGTACTTCAATTTTTCCAAGCCAAATGCACTGCCACAACCTAAAAAACCTAATCTGGGGGTTGTGCTAAGCTCAAGCACATACTTGAAGACTGTAGGCTACATTCCCTAAGAGCATGCAATCTCTCAGGCTAACATTCTACACGCTAGTGAAACCCAGGCAGGAATGAAACTCGTTCGGACTCCACAGTTAAAACCGTTTGTTAATGAGGAAGGACAGGCTGTAAAGGGTTACCAGTAATAAGGTTAAAGCAACATTTGCGGTCTTTCTCAATGTCCAAACATCATGCAATTCAACGGATAGTTCCCCCCAAAAAATGAAAATTCTGTCTGCTTAAACATCTTAAGAGGCTTCCAATCAGAGCTTCTGTGATCACTAAACAGAAGGATATATTATGAGTGTGAAACTATTAGATAGTACAGAAAAGTTGTAATATTATGAATATTAATAGTTTTTTAGTCAATGCTTCCTTTCGAGTACTCAAAAGATCAATAAAACAAACATGAGTACTTGGGGAGGTCAAATGTTTAATTAAAACATTTTTGACAAATATATGAGTAAAATATCACTGGTACATTAATAATAATAAAACAAACAGCAATGATTTTATAAACACAACACGTAATATTACAACGCAAATCTACAGGCGATCTTGACCGTGGTAGTCAGAATGTGTCAGAATCCAAACTGTGCTCTTCCTGTAACAACGCGCTAAAAAACGTGGTTGCATAAAGAATTGACAACATTTGATAAAAATCACATTCACATTATAATGTATAGAACAGATTGGCACCGCACATATTGCACTTAACTGTAATTTAATTATCTAAAGACATTAATGCACAAAGTTTCACATTAGTTTTCTGGTATGGCAAGCTCACCCAACGCCAAGCAAAAGTGCCACCATAACCAATCATAAAAATGAAAAATACATTTTCATGACTGGTCATTACTGTTATTTCCTAGTACATGGTCACTCATGTTAATCCATAAGGCTGACTTTCTTTTTTCCAGGATCAATTTATCCTTCTCTGAGAAAGGGCATTCAGAATCAAACAGGTCTTAAAAAACATTCCTGGAAGTGGCCACTGATCTAATCTTCGTCTGCACTTTCAGCCCCTTCAGGGAACAGTCTCAATACATTTAGGTTACAAAGCATCACTGATGAAAGCAAACACTTAATATAATTTCTAACTTACAACTGTAACAACAAATAAAGCTTAGGGGAATAATGAAGTTGTAAATGAGAGGAAAAATCTTAAGTTACATTATGAATTCTTGTTTAGGCTGGATTCATAGAGAGCTGGAACTGGAATTTTAAAGGTCATTTAATGCATTTTAACTGAACAGCGGTCATTCGATTCCCTAAAACTATTGTTTTAATTTAACTGACATTTCCCTTCCCTTTCAACCTGTGTGCAGGAATCAAAACCAAACTACATGCAAACAACAAGGCACACAAACCATAAAACTGTGCAATGTGCTTAGTTAAAAGGCAATTGAGATATGATAGTTATGACAGTAAATTATACACTTTATGAGAAGAATGTTCCTGTTCATACTATGAATTCAATGAGCTGTAGCTGTACTAAACCCACAGTTACACCAAACCAACTGTCAAAATGAACCCCTTGTACAGACATGATCAGGCAGGTCACAGCTTGATGACAAAGACCACAAGTACAACCATATTGAGGATTCATTCAAATTACAGAATATGAAACTGAAAATGGTAAAGAGCTGATATCCGTTAATAGTAATCTACTATTCATACCAACCTTACATTATAAAATCTAACATAGATATTGTACACACTAGACACGCGTAAGCATTAATAAAAACAGCTTCCAATAACACGAACCATGGCAGTGACTACATTTAGACTGTTTTGGAGTAGCCTAGTTATTTCTCTTAATCAGCCTACCGGTTGCATGTATTTCCCGAAGCTGTTTTTAACTATGATATGCAATCTGTGACTGTACCGCTCACCCAGGTGACGCCGCCGAAGGGATACTAACTAACAACCAAACTAACTTTACTTCTGACCGGTAAAATGCCGAAAAGACACCCACCAGACACGTTAACTTTCCCTGAAACAGAATTTGTAAAGAGCCCGTTTACACCTTCACTTAAACAAATCTGTAAAGCAAATAAAAAGGAGTGTTTTAGCGGACCTGCGAACGTCAAAATTCACCCGCACGCGGACGACTCAGTGTCGCTCTCCTCGTCACAAAACATTAAAAGTTAAAGCGGACACCGACTGGAACCGAACTGATCTAATACCAAACTTCTGCCTTTATCTTTGTCAAAGTCATCATTACCTTTCAGCTCCAGCTGCGCGAGAGCGCGTTCACATCCTGCCTGTCTCCAGATCTGCTTATGATGAATCCACTCCTCCCAGGGCGGGGTATAACCCCTCCTTATTTACCGCACTATTTACCATACATTCACTTTGTTTACAGTGCTTCCTTCGTCACTGGAATGAAAACTGATTGCCTAGTGTTTGCTTTAACGTTACCTGGAAAGACTTCTGACAATTCGTTGTACTTTGACTCGTTGATTTATTTTGGGTTTACATAGTTTTTTAGGGTTATTCTGGCGAATTCTAGTATTAAATGTAAATTATGTATTTAATTATGATTACTTGAGCTCATTCTAAACATTAATTTGAGGAGGAACAGGTATAATGCTGTAAAATATAGGTTTCTATCTAGTCCAATAAACCACTTACCAGCTGGCTATGTGGAGGTTTAAAGAGCAGCAAATGACTTGGACCAGCAAAACAACCGACCTCAAAACCCACCTAAAGCCAGCCTGGAAGACCAGTAAACTAGTTTTTCACCATGGGGAAGTGTTGAAATTCACAGGTTTCTGCTGGATTTCCTTTGCCAATCTGACTGAAGTGTGGTCAGATGTTACACTCTAAAAAATGCTGGGTTGTTTCAACCCAACTTTGGGTCAAATATGGACTAACCCAGCTGTTGGCTTAAATTTTTTTAATTAAATTTTGAACCCAAAAGTTGGGTTAGTCCATATTTGACCCAAATTTGGGTTGAAACAACCCAGCATTTTTTAGAGTGTATACATGACTCTTTGTGATCTGACAAAGCCTATATAAATAGGCCTAAGTCATACTTTTTTGCTCAGCACAGACAAAGCTCTTCCTGCTGCATCCCACTGTCTAAAAAGCCTCTGTCCATGTGCATTTTTCTTTGTCTATTGGTTCATATTAACATTAAGAAGTAAGTTTGTCCTGTCAGTCAGTTCAACAGGAACAAAGTTGAGCTGAGCGAGATCATATGTCCTTATTGGTTATGTTCTGATTTGTTTTCATCTGAATGGACAGGTGAGGCTTTGCCTGTGACTTCACACACAACCTCCTTAGAGAGGTTTCAGGAGAAGCATGTTCATATGAATCCACCAATCACAATGCTGAGGAAGTATAAACAGCTCTTACCTCATTCCTTACCATAAATCTTGTGGCATTCCTGCTCCACCCCAACTGTTTTCAGCACGCTGAGTTTTCAATTCAAGACAGTCCTGTATGGACAGCAAAGCAGACCTATCCACATTCTTTCACATCTATTTTTCCAGAGAAAATATAACAAAATAATGTTCCAGTCAGTATAACTTTTTTTTTAATGAAATGTAATACTTTTTCATTAAAAGAGACTTCTTTCATAAACATAAAAAATTTGTCCCAAAGTTTTAAACAGTAGTGAAGAAAACAATCTGAAAGAAAAGATAGTTTAAAAAAAAACATGAATATTAGAATGTCTTATCTGGTTTGCGTTACTTGAGCTGCATGAACTCCACAAGTTTGCACAAAACCTGATCTTCATGTTCTCAAGCTTGATTTAAGATGATCCAGACAGTAAGAACATCTGACCATCTGTAAGTCACATGGTCAATGTCACAGATGTACTTAGTTAATTAGTGACCCAGAAATAGTGCAGAATCTACAACATTTCTTATTCGTTTTATGTTTCACTAACATTTCTCAAAACTGTAAAACTTTCAGGTTTAAATCAGAGTTTGATTTTGGATGCTACTCTGTATGAACATGTGAAATGAAAGCTGAAGACCAAGCTCTCTTTTACCCCTCTGACTTAAAATAGACATTCATATACAGACACACATATGGACTCTAGGAAAGCCTCCTAACATCTGTCAGTCATGTCTGCTGCATCATTTCAGGCTGGTTTGCATGCCAGCCATGGTAGCAGCAACTCTAGATCCATATATGCAAAGACTGAACAAATTATAGCATTTGGTATGCGCATGGGTCAGACAGGGATCACAGACTCAAAAACATCCACATCAGTGATCTATAAAAAGACCTAGTTCACATTTTGCTCAAATCACTCACACACAGATCACTCCATATGCGAGAAAATGGAGATAAGATTAAAACAGATAATACTGCATTGCTTTGGCAGATGAGAGGAACTGAATTTCTTATTAAAGGTGCCATAGAATGCATTGATACAATATTTTAAATTGTTCTCTGATATCTACATTGAAGGTATGTGGCTATAGGTAATGGCAAACAATCTCCAGAAACGGTTTTACATGTCCATTTACAACCCTAGGATTTGTCCCTAGAATGAAATGGCCTGTTTTTATGTCACAGTTATATCGTTGGGTAATTATACTATATATAAAATGCGGGCATCAGGGAGCCGCTATTAATATTCGAATGCACGATTGCTTTTTACTTTCACTTTCGAGATTTGCTATCGCACGTGCTCTGTGTAAACTACAGCGGCAGTACTTACCACACATTTTACAAGATCAGATGCTTGTCAGTGGTGCTCAGGATCTGTAAATCATTCATCATCATCCTCAGTCATCTCTCCTTACTCTGTTTTTGTGGTAAGTGAAATCTTATGTCCTGTAACAGGCTACCGCTAGCAAGCAGCTAACCATGTCCTTTTAGTGGCTCCCGTTATTTTATTAGAACGCGCGTTATTTGTTTTCCGTGCCTTTCTGAATACAGACACCAACCCATCCCTGCACAGCCTGGAACATAACATTTATTTCCATGATCTGCCATTTTCGCTATTATCCTCACTTGTTTCTTCACAATACCTGCAGAACTTCTGATGATTCAGCTGTGCAGGTTCGGCTGGCGGCTGGCATAGAACATGGGCGGGTTTATGCAAATGTTGGGGGCGTAACTATTAGTGATCCCGACTGTAACGTCACAGTCGGTGTTATGCTCTGATTTGCCTATTTTTCAGTGGTCTTTTGCATTCACGAGATTTACATAAGAAGGAGGAAACAATGGTGTTTGAGGCTCACGGTATGTCATTTCCATGTACAGAACTGTTATTATTCAACTATGCCAAGGTAAATACAGTTTTCCATTCTATGGCACCGTTAACAGGTGATAAAAGAATGATATCAAGAGCACTCTTTGTTAGTGTGACTAGATTAGTTAGAGAGGGTTAGAGAGCATTTCAGACCTTTTGTAACAGACCCTCACAATGCCCACAGCTCTAATCTCATTGAGTTTATTCTTAGAGCCTGTTTTCTGACACACAAATTAAGGCTTCTGGACTAAACAAGTTGTTTTTCATGGAAGATGTATCATTTAGAAGATTATTTTGTCTTAGGATAAGACATTTCTGTCTAATGGTTTACATATACAATGAAAGTCTGTGGGATCCAGTGTTGTTTTGGACCCCACTGACTTTAATTGTAAGGACAGGAACAGTTCTAACATTCTTTTTCAAAATATCTTATTTTGTGTTCCACCAAAGAAAACAGTTTAAAAGTGTAAAAGTTTGGATTCTTAAAGGGATAGTTCAGCCAAAAATGGATAATCCATGTGACATCAGGGGTTAAACCCTAATTTTACGAAGCTACGAGAATGGCTCCAAAATGGCGCTAGGGCGATGCGGAGGAGACGAATTGTTGAATAAAGTTTTTTTTTTCTTTTGCGCACAAAAAGTATTCTTGTAGCTTCGTAAAATTACGGTTGAACCCCTGATGTCACGTGGATTATTTTACCGATCTCCTTGCTACGTTTCTGGACCTTGATCGTGTAAGGATCCTTGCTGTCTATGGGAGGGTCAGAGAGCTGTCAGAATGCATCAAAAGTATCTTAATTTGTGTTCCGAAGATGAACGGAGGTCTTACGGGTTTGGAACGACATGAGGGTGAGTAATTAATTACAGAATTTTCAATTTTGGGTGAACTAACCCTTTAAGATAATGTTCAGCGCTTCAGATTAATATCTTTAATAGACAGTTTGGGAATATGATCCACATGCAGATATTCAAGTATGTGAGGTCATGTGAAAGGATATGCTCAAATATTTAGTGTGTGTGTGTGTGTATACAAACATCCTGTTGTTTGGAAACTCAAATGTTGTGGCAACATTATAGATGAAATAAAATGCAGAAAACTGTGCAAGTCAAATAAGTAAAATGTCAAGCCTCTACTGCTCTCTTTGTAATAACACTGCTGACATTTAGTAGACCTTCTGAGTATCAAATATACCCTACAATACATTAAACAAAGAAACGGTTTCCTAGAGCGGTGTAAACAACGGTTTAGCAGCACAATATCACAGTAACCTACAGTTTCATGTCTATGCAGTCTGTGTGTTAGCTGACCATTTCCTTTACAATAAGGCTGTCATCAGCATCGCAAACCACATGATGTTGTCAGGGCTGTACGTTAACTTTTTTTGCACATAGCACTGGTGCTACATAGGTTGAAAGTTTTGTAGCACAGGCCAAACAGCTGTAGCACAAGTTAGGGGTGGGCGATATGGCAAAAATATCATATCACCATTTTATTCAGGAATATCACGAGTCACGATTTTATCACGATTTAGGCCAAAGTGGGCGAAGATAAAAATCTTTGTCATTATTTTATCTTTGTTATTAGAAAATAAGAACAAAAGATATACATTACAAAAACACATAATATGCAAATAAAACAAACAGTGCTTTATTTTTCAGGTACAGTATTTAGAAGTAACATTAAATATTAAAATAAAACACTATATAAACTATATATATCAATTATAATTTTTTTAAGCAACTGTATTAAAGTTCATCAGTCATGAGCAGTGAGTGATTTTTCTGTTTATTTATTTATTTATTTTTTATTAATATTAAAGGGATGAAAAATCTGTCATCTGTCTGTCAATTCTGTCATAGTGTTTTATTTTTATACCATCATTTACTCACTCTCAAGTTGTTTTAAACCTGAATTATTTTCTTTCTTCTGTTGAACATAAAAATTATTTTGAAGAATGTGCGTAACCAAACAGTTGCTGGTCCACATCGACTTCCATAGTATTTTTTCCTACTATCAAAGTCAATGTGGACATATATGTTGCACTGTACAGCCCTGGTTGTGATTAATAAACAGTCTACACTTTTTCATAAG